AGTTATAATCTGATAATCAACTTCCTCCTTTCTTCACTGAAGACAGAGCTAGGGTGTCAGACAGTCTCAGAGCCTGATCTCCAGCATGTCTTGCACCTTCACAACGAGTGCCGGCATACAAAGCTCTAAAATGTGCATCTAAATTGAAGGTTATTAACTGACAGGCTTACTGCTCTTCTACATTGAGGTGAATAAGGCCCCCCACAGGCTAAAAGTAAGAACCGTAATAAAAGGACTCATCATCTCTTTGAATGTTGAGCTTGAAGTGGCTGTTGTTGCAGTCACAGCACATTTTTTGAGGTTAATATGTGTCAGGACAGGATCCAGGCTGAATGATGCTTCACTGTTTGGGTTTTTTCTTCTGTGACTGCGATCACCATAATGACTATGAATGCTTTTTTTCTATATGATAATGGTCGACGCACCTGGTTGACTATAGAAAGAATACAGAGTTGATTGTTTAAAATACAGTATGCTTCATTGGTTCTCTGTCTTTCCATGTTGATTGTAACATTTTGAAGCCTCTAATGTAAATGCTAAATATGTGCCATCCATAGCAAACCCTTCTGAGATGGTGGAGGGCATGTGGCTGGGTGTGACAGTGGCCAGTCAGAGGAACCATCTGTCCGGACGTGTGCTGGTGAGATGACACAATGTTCTACTGTGTTAGTCTGTGTCCCAGGTAACATTGTATGCCAAACTGTTACATAGTCCTCACTAAGATATAAGTGAAAGGACACACAGGTTTTTCCTGAGATATTGTTTTTCCTTCTCAAATACTTTTTTGTTGGTTTTTGTTTCTTTTGTTGAGGAAATATAATGATCCCTTCATTAAACCACATTCAAATATTCATAAATCTTGGTAAAAAGATTTATGAATTATTTACTGAGAAATCAATGGAAATGTTCAAGTGATGGATAGACAGGCAAACAAATGTAGAAGAAAACATAAACCCCCTTGGCGGAGGTAAGAATAGCATTTAAACTGAATGTCAGTACTTTATCAGAAGATGTTCATTCATCACATCTTCTCTCCCATGCAGGCCTGTGGCCATCGGTACGTGAAGGTCCTCCGAGGCGGCACAGAGGAGCAGCAGCGGATGATAGGGAAGTGCTACGTGAGGAGCAATGACCTGACCTTTGACCCAAACGATGACTGGCAGGATGACAATTACGAGGTCTGCAACCCCAACTTAGACATGGAGTTCGAAGGGATGTGCAACATGGGCATCTCCGCTGGCATGACAGACACAGACGTCTACATTGGTGCCACTGGCAGCTTCCTGTGGCAAGGTGGGCACTGAAGAGTTAACAATGAAAGGAGCATGTTTTGCTGCTTGACACTGAAATATGGGCAGGTTTCACAGATGGGTATTAAATACATCCAAGAATACCTGGTGTTAGTCTAACATCGGGATTATTCTTTGTCTGGGAAACCTGTTGATGGTGCATGAAGCAGATGTTAATCTTCCTTTCTGATTCTGCTTTTATTCTAAAGGAAATGTTCATGTGAAATGGAGAGATCCGGATCCAGCGAACTCTTGGGACTCCAGAAGTACAGAATTTGAACAGCTGAATAGACGAAACAGTTATATGGGTAAGTACAGTGTGTTGTTGCATCATGTAAATTATAAAATGATTGATAAATACCTGAGTGTCCGTGTGAATAACAAGAGAACCAGTTAAAAGGAAAAGGTTTTTTATCACAGAACATCGCATTTGATCTGTGATATTGAAAAAGGCTTTTGTTACCTTTGCAAAGGTCAGATGACGGTTTAACAGTGAATCTCTCCACCACAGGTTATTCAGTTCTCGAAGAGAAGAAGCTGTTCAGCCATGACTTCACTGTAGTGACAGGGTCTCCCAGGGATGAATCCAAGGGCTCCGTGGTGCTGGGGACAAAGATGGACAAACTGATTAAGCCGGTGCTCATCATCCCCGGGGAACAAGTGGGCTCTTACTTTGGAAGCAGCCTGGCTGTCACCGACCTCAACAATGATGAGTGAGTTTCTTTATCACAGATTGTGTGATTGGGGAGGATATATGTCTAAAAATCTATTTATCCTTTTAGCCTTTAATATTGTTAATATATACTATATCTAGAATGTAAGAAAGTTGTTCGGACCCATACAAAGTATTTTAAAGTGGACACCACTATGCAGAAATGAAGCTGCAATATCCTGGAATCAAACACTTCCATCTTGCATATTTGGAGCCAGAGTCTACACACTAATGATAGGGCGAGGAAGCTTAAGGGAGCTCACTCAATCATTCGCGAGTAAGCTGTCAATCATGGCGGGTCACCCCATTTTTTTTATCGTAAAATAACAGATCAAAAAAACTTACTAGACAAATTAACACTTGAACAAACACTAGTGTGATAAAAAGTACATAAACTTATTTGACGTGTACTTAGACTTGTCCATGTCCCATCCACCAAAAATCAAGATTCCGTCCAGTGGATCAAAACAAAGTCTCTAACTCTCCACCTAAAGTTACATTTCAGCCAAAAGCGGCTTTAAAATCCTAAATTCACACTGGTAACAGACAGAAAGCAGAAGTGTTATGTTTGCGTTGTTAGCATGTTTTAACAGAACGCCTGTAACTGCCTCTTGTTCTTTTGAGCAGCTTCATGGTCCAGTGCTCCGTAGCTATGATATGGCAGATTGTGCAGAGAATGCAGGACGATGATGTACGTTTGAGCTGAGATCAAAGAAAGTCCGTCCCTTCAGTAGCTCTGATGAGACCTTCATCATGACTTCATAAGGAAATCATGCTGCAATTTACTGCATGAGTCAAACCTTGTTAGATATGTGGTAGATTTACTTTAATATGTACGTACTGTTTGTTACAATTACAAGAAATGTTGGTGAATTGCAATTTGTTTTTAGTTATAATAAGGATGTATGAGTTGGAATATTTTTCTTTGCCTTTGACAGCTGGAATGATCTGATCGTGGGCGCCCCATTTTACTTTGACCGTATGAATGATCATGGTGGAGCAGTGTATATCTTCATGAACGAGAACGGGTCATTCCAAAAGAAGGCCACAGTCGTGCTGAAGGGTCCATCGGGGTCTGGGTTTGGCTTTGCAGTTGCTGCCATTGGTGATGTCAACCAAGATGGATTCCAAGGTAGGACTGTGAACACAACTCAAGTTAAAAACAGCTTCAACTACAAAATGATTTACATAATGAAATTGTAGTTAAAGTCCATTCTATGATGTTTTTCCATTACATCTACGTTCTAAACTAAAAGGACTGCTCTGCTGGTATAGAGGGGAATTATTGGTTTAATATTTTGTGTTATTGTTTTAATGCCCTCTTGCTACATAAGTTTCTCAGCAGGGAAACATAATGGGCCTTGTTTTATTTCAAGCTTTGGGCTGGCAATTGACCAAACGTTAGGTGGTGCACTGCTGTCCCCTAGAGGGCGAATACATTACTTCTTTCACTTGTTTTCAGCTGTTTCCTTGACATATCTCCTTTCTTCCTGTCTCCAGACTTTGCAGTCGGAGCTCCATTCCACGACACAGGGAAGGTCTACATATGGATGGGAAGTAAAAAGGGAATCTCAGAGAAGCACAGTCAGGTAACATGTGACTTAATGCATCTGATGCACTTCACATATAATCTAATCAGGCCTCCAGATTTATTGTTTTATATGCACTTGTTGCCCTCTACAGGTGATTGAAGGTAAGACATTAGGTAATGGATTCCAGACCTTTGGCTACTCCATCAACGGAGGGATGGACATGGATGAGAACAGTTACCCTGACATCTTAGTTGGCTCTCTGGATGACCGCATTGCCCTGCTCAGGTAAAAGAAAACAGTGTGAAAAATAAGAAAAGTTCATGCACTTTTAATTTAGTTAAAACACTGGAAAATGTTTACTGTATTAACAGGTTAAAACAATCCTTTAATAAGCCTATGTTCAAACAGAAAATAAAAGTTAAACTAATACCGAGTATGTCTCAGCTGTAAATAGTAAAACATGTACTTTTTTCATATGTGAATATAACTGTACAGTTTGATTCTATGTTGCATTTTTTGCTCAGAGCTCGACCAGTCATCCACTTAACTAACAACTTCACTGTTGAGCCGAAGATCGTGGACCCTAAGGAGTGTCCTGACAATACACCATGGTGAGAAGACATGTCAGAATACCTCATTCAGATTAGTTACTTTTTTGTCTAAAACTTGTTTGCGACTCTTTGTGCTTTACAGCATTAAAGTGACACTGTGCATGGCTTTCACTCTGAGCAATGGCAACAAAGACTTCAGGAAAGATGTTGGTAAGCATTCGTGTTTTTTTCAACTGACTTCTAATGTGTAAATAAATATTATTTAAATATTTGAATGACTAAAGACCACAATTTTTAATCCATAGTCATATTTAAAATGTGTAGAATGACTGGCTGCTCACAGACCTTGTGTTCTGTAATGTCATGTACATGTTTCTACTTTGCAAAGTGGTGAAATACACAGTAGAGGCGGACATGGAGAGGAGAAGAAGCCCCCGAGTTTATTTCCAGAAAAATAAGAGGGACACCCTTGTAAGCTCACAAAGCCTGTCCTCCTCCAAGTCCACGTGTAAAACTCTAAACCTGGGAGTAGTGGTAAGTTTTCAACAAATATGTGTTGTGCATGTGTGACTGAAAAGCTGCGGTTGCCTAAGTCATGTGCTTATTTTGACTAGTATTAAATTCTTGGGTGACTTTACAGGCGCCTGTGAGGGACAAACTGGAGCCAGTAGTCTTTTCCCTCAACATGTCTTTAAATGAGCCAAGCCCTAAATCCAGACGCTCCCTGCAGAACCTGGACTTCTTCCCAGTCCTGAGCCAGGAGCAGAAAGTCACACAAAGAACTGAGGTACGGTGTGGTGCATACGCCACATTCATAAAACACATTTTATATAACAGTGGAGCACATGTAGTAGACTTTTATTTGTTACATCCCTACAGATTAACTTTCAGAAGGAGTGTGGCTCAGACAACAGATGCAGCAGTAACCTGCAGATGGAGTGTCAGTTTGTTGACGAAAAAGAAATCCCTTACCCCAGGTGAAATGAAATTCTGAAAACCAAGTCTTTTTCTTTTTTAAGCTGATACAGGAAACATATTTAAGACGAATATCACATGATTTTATCCACTGTCTTATTAAGAGATAGATAAGAAGATTGATACCACTCTCATGAATGTAATGGACATATGAAGCCATACAGTCCAGCAGCCATTTAGCATAAACTTAACATAAAGACTGGAAAGAGGGATGGAAGATTTTTATTCGAATTTGTTTAATAAGTAAAATTGCCTTTGGACAGAGTCAGAACAGTTGTTTCTCCCTGTTTCACAGCCTTGTGCTAAGATGAATTTATGTAAGTGTATATAACAACTTTGAGAAATTATTATTTGATTAATAAATTGACCTTTCATTCATGAAGTATACTGCAGCCAGCCAATAGGTGGTGATCAAGACATTTTGGCTTCACTACTGTGGAGACGTCATGTCGACCATCTTAAAATACAGTCTATGGCTCAGTCTAGATTAGACTAAAATCATGTCAAATACACAGCTTCCCCTCACTTTACATACAATAACAATTTATGTAATGTATTAATTTACATGTGTTATCTCTTTGATTAGAAAATGAAGAATGAGTTTTGTTACACAAAATGTTACATGTAACAAGCTGTATCTGCAACAATGGCAGCTGGCTAGGCTTTGGAAATCGTGCTTGTGTCATCTGGGAATTAAATATGAGACTGTTGTTTTGGGTTAAGAATCATTACACTCCCAAAACGATAATAAAAAAAATGTAATAATAATAATTATACATGTTGTCCGTGCTTAGGAAGGACAGATTCCAGGTACTACAGTTCAGCAGCAATATGAAGTTAATACATCTGATGGTGGAGGTGACTAACTTCCCTTCCGGGGGGAAGCTTGGTGAGGACGCCCATCAGGCCATGCTCAACATCACCATCCCAGAGGCATTGAGTTACTCTGGCGTCAGATCACTGGTATGTCCACCTGAGGGCAGCAGACGAATGAAAAATATCCATTCAATAGTTATTTCCTCTATTCAAGTCTTGAATCCTTTTACCAGTATCACAAAAATACACTGTTGGATTGTTAATGTCGCTCATTATTAATCACATGTGAAAATAGAGCACACAGTTTTGATATTCTTCCTGTGCATGTAGGACCATGATGTACAATGCAGATTGGAAAGCACAGTCATTTGTGAGCTGGGGAATCCACTTAAAGGCAATGAGAAGGTGAGTGAGCCTCTTTCCCTCCAACAGTTTGACTCCTTCCCTCTGCTAAGATGCATTTCTGATAATTTTCATTTCACCGCCTACTTTGATTATCAGGTGAAACTCGTCCTCAAGTTTGAAACGTCTGGGATTAATCTGTACACACAAGAGATTGAGTCTCAGCTGCTTCTGTCCACGTAAGTGCTGAAGATTGTTAGATGCACGCTTTATAGCTAAGCAGCAGAAGAGTTGTTCACTTTTTACAGCACTGAAACACTTTAGAGGCAAGTTTTAATTTAGGTTTTTTTAAAAGCAAAACCAAAAAAAAGTATATGTCTCCTTTAATTAGAGCTGATGTTATTGTGGACACATTCTGACAGGCAGTGTACTAGTAAGGTTTGTTTCTTCAGTCTCAGTGAACAGAGTGACCTGAAGCCTGTGCCTGTGGCCCTGCTGATTGAAAACACCATCCTCCCATCTTTCTCCACGTGAGTACCATTACCTAACAACTCCTGACATACTGTACATACACCAAAGATCGGAGGCACTGAGTGTCACATCAAATTATCCTCAACATCATGTTAGTGTTTGCATTTGTGCATCATTTCCAACTCTCATCCTGTCCAGAGTGAACGCCTTGGTGCAAACAAAATTCGGTGGGACAGTGATGGGCGAGATGGCCATGGTCAACACCAGTGACGTGGGCAGTCTGGTGGAGTTCACCTTCAATGTGAGTCACCTCAACCGCTCTTGGTTATATTGGACCTCCGAGACTGTATGTTGCATCTACAATACGTGTGCTGCTCACCCACGTTTCCCTGATCCCCACCCAGTCTTTTAAAGCCAACACTTTCATTCTTCAGAAGTTTAATATTGTGTGGGGGAAAGGGCTGTTGTGCGAGACATGGTTTGTGGTGTAAGCATGACCAGGGGTGGATGCTATTTCGGAGAAAACTACAGTCTAGCTCTGTTATTGTTCATTCACACAATAGGTTTGATTTCCTTTGAAGTTCTTTTTTTTCTGCTGCGGACTATTTTCTCCTTTAGGTGGACATGAGGGGGCAGCCTCTGAGAGACCTGGGGATGCTGGCTGTTGAGTTTGTTTGGCCCTTTGAGGTATCCAACGGCAAGTGGCTGCTGTACCTGACGAAGATCGTCGTCATGGGGGAATCGGAGACGGAATGTAAACCTGATAAAGCTGTCATCAACGTGCTTAACCTCACTGTAAGGCTCTGTTCAATACTGTCAAAAGGAAATGGTAGCTGTATTGATTTCCAGCCCTATAATCGGTGTCATGTTGTTCTCTTATAATCTTTAATTCTTTATAAATCTTTCAATCTCACTTCTGCCCACACCCATGATATTTATACCAAAATGTCCCACTTCTGAAAAGCCACAATCATGGTTGCAAATAAATAGAGGTAGCGGCTTTAATGAGAGGCCTGGACAAAGAGCAACAGTAAGAGTGTACGGCGTGTGAGGCTGACATCAGCAATGTAGCGTGCTCACAATGACACGTTCTGTTTAGCACATAAATAGGCCACAAAGATGGATGACATGACAGCTCTCTTAAAGGGAATGAAAAGCATCTTGATCGCCACCTGGTGGCTAGCTGCTAGCCCTTGGGACATGGGCTAAACTAGCGCATTCATCTACGGAACCTTGCCACCGCTGCTCCATCCCCCGATAGCTACTGCGCAAACTCTGGCTCCAAATGATGCCATTGCCCCAAGATGGCAGCATTCATATTCGAGATATTTCAGATTTATATCTGGATAGCTGAAGAAAGTGGAGACGCTTAATCCATCTTTTTTGAATGTTAGAGCAACCTTTGCTAAGTAGCACTGATCACAGAGTTCAGGTGAGGCTGAGGGGAATGTCAGACCAATGCAAATCATCAAATTAGCAAATGCACTGAACTGGACTCATATCAAGCAAGACTGAATTGTGACTCGGGTTGAAGGTCCTGACGACAGTGTGAATTGAAGCAGTCTGTCAGAATGAGTAAACATCAGTGGCAAGAAAGTGGTGTGAAATGGTTTTAGAGCCAAACCACAGCTGTTCAGAAATACATTTTGGAAAAAACATGTGTCGCCTCATGCAAACCTCACAGAGCACCAAAATAGAAAATCATATTGCGTGTGGCCTGCATATAGAGAGTGGAAATGAATATGCTATTCTGAGAAGAATTTGGTAATGTCTTTATCAAAACCAGTAATTACCACGTAACCCTCTGATGTAATGTCTCTTTCTCCTATGCCTCCCTCTTTCATTTTTCCTCTCTCCTTCATCTCCCAGTTGTCAGGGAGGGGACCAAAGCGCACCAAACGGCAGATCGTGGATGACGTTCATGAGGTGACCCAGCCACAAATCATCGAGCCACAGGCTGCAATCTCAGTCAGCACTCATCGAAAAGAGACCCACCTATTGGTAAGAAAGGGACCCGCCTGAGCGTGATGAGCTTTAATGCGTAACATGATGAATTAGATTTGATCGTCACAGTGAGTTTTTCACAATTAGATTATGAACAGATATGTTACATTATTTTAAAGCGAGCAAGTATAATCAAGAATCATAACATAAAAAGTGGATGGATGGTATTGTAGGATTGGTGGGTGGATGGATAATCGTGTATCATGTTATCAATGTTATCTCACTTGAACTCCTTTGGTCAATAGAACTGAAGGCTGTAAAATTATTAGTATTTTACATATTTTCTAACAATACCTGTGTTCTCCTTATTCAGTTTGTGCACATGTTTGTGTCCCTGTGTGTTCACTTGTTTAATCGTTCTCTCTCCTGGTGTGTTGAAGGAATGCTCCAAGGGGACGGCAAGATGCGTGAAGTTTACCTGCCCACTACTCAACATGACAGACTCAGCAAAGATTTATGTGCGGTCACGTTTGTGGAACAGCACAATGCTAGAGGTTAGCTCACCAGCTACAGCCATACACACACACACACAAACACAATAAATACCTTGTGATTCAATGTAGACTAATACAGAATGGATTGTATCTGGGGTTATGGACATCTACAATGTCTAGCCACGTTGTGAAAATGTTTTGATGTGTGTGTGTGTGTGTCTGTGTGTGTGTGTGTGTGTGTGTGTTCTTGCAGGACTATTCCAACGCTCTGAGGGTTACAGTCAAAGGGGAAGCCACATTGAAGCTCATTACAGATAAACCAACCATCAAGATGGAAAATCAGACCACCATGGTGCGTAAATAGTCACGATGATGATGATGATGGTGATGATGATGATATTGGTTTTTACCTGACCGCCTCCACCTTTCCTTTAGTTCACAGTCGAAATAGAGCCAGAGGAAGGAGGGGAAATACCCTACGAGCTCCCGCTGTGGATCATCATCTTGGCAGCAGTCGCAGGAATTCTACTGTTAGGAATCATAATTCTTATTCTGTGGAAGGTGTGTAATACTGAACTGATCATACCCTCTCACATACACATGCTGTGTATCTGCAGGCAAATACTGAAATGTTTGCTCACTCACAGCAGAGCTCTTCTCTGGGTCGTACAATAGCTGCTGACCCCCACTCATCTGACACATACAAACTCCATATCAAAGCGTTAGTCTAAACTTTGACTTACCCCCCTCTCCTCCACGCACTCCCCCCCTCCTCCTCCTCCACCCTCAGTGTGGCTTCTTCCAGAGGGCCAGCACAAGGGAGATGTATGAGGCCAAGTCCCAGACGGCTGAGATGAAGATCCAGCCATCTGAGACAGAGAAGTTGACTGAGGACTACTGAGGCCCCCGTGGGGCCCCAAACAGAACACACCAGTGGGGCTTTTGGGTAAAAATGGATTTTCATGGGCCCCTAAGCTTGGGGTGTGATTCAACTTACTAGGTTGCTTTCTGAGTCTTTGCACCAACCTCTTCTAGTTACAGTAACTTACATTTTCTGTGCTTCCCCTCCAGGCTAGTACTGTACATTACACAGCTGTTCACTGTGCTTTCACTACTTTATCTTACCTATTGTGGGTCTTCTCTGTTACCTAACCTGATTTTCCTCAGCCTCTTAGTCTTCTTCTCAAGCCGTCATTAATCCGATTTGGGCTTTTTTAAAATCTTTATTCATTCTTTTACTTTTAAAGCAGGACAGGATCAGGTTTGATTTCACGTTAAGATTTTGTAATTCTCTCACTCAAAACCCTGATTGTGCTTTCATTTCCTGCGCTCAGCTTCAGCTCTTCTCCTCTCGCTCACACTGCTTCTGTGCGAGTGTGAAAAATATGCTCTCAAATTGTGCAAAAGGTTGTTGACAAATGAAAATGTCCCACCCTCACTGTGGGTGTGTTAGCTTTATGTCTTTAAGAGTCCCGTATGGGCGGTTACTTTAACCAGGTCATACACTCCTGCCCTCCTTGGCTTTGCACCATTTTCCTGTCTGAATGCCTGAAAGAAAAATGATGACACCTTCATGGAGTCCAGCAGTTTTTTGATGATATGGGAACACTGTTGCTTGCAACTAAAAAGACAAAATAGATGCCACCCTGTTGGATTTTATGGGAACAACAGCAAAAGCAAAACAAAACCAAAACGAGGGTGGGGAAATTTCATTTGTCAGCATATTGTTGGTTTTACCTAATCTGATTTTCCTCAGCCACTGAATCCTCAATCTTCTTCTCAACCTGTCATTGATGCCTGCTCTCCTGCTGTTTGAGTGCATCCTTAATCACTGTCCCTTTCTTTTCTCTCTCTTTTTCCTTACAGCTCGGATTCTTTAAGCGGGCGCTCTACTACCGGATGATGCCAAAGCACCAGGGGGTGAAAATTCGCAAGGCTGAGCGCTATCAGTTCAATCTAGGATTTCAGCCCGAGGAGCCACAGAAAAAGTATTGGATCACCAACTGGACAGAAATGCGTTACTACTACTGAGACCTTAACTCTGGACCCTGAACCAGTCCTTGTCACACAGGCTCGGGCCAAACAAAGCGTACTGGGCTCCGTCGAGCCACATGGACTTTGCAGTGCATGGACCATGGACACAGCCCTGAAACCTTTTTTTAATTTTCATTAGAATTCATTGACTCTATCAGTGCAATATACTGAACATTTTTGTTTTAAGAGATTGTAATTTCTTCAAAGTATTTTTTGAAGAACGTTGGAGTTGGGGTTGCATTCAGGAGTAAAAATTGTTTTGATTCACGTTGCAGGAGTATATACTGAACTCTGTGTCTGCATGAATACTTTCACTTTTTGAGCAAACTCACTTGACATTCCTCATGTTAATCCTGCAACACATCTGTTTTTTGATTTTCTCTGTGATTGCTCAAGTCCTTCTCAGTTGCCCGGCATTGCAGATTTAAAACCTTAATCGGTAATTTTCCAACTGCACTTAAAATACGGTTGGACAAGAATCCACTCTGTTGCGAGTGGACAAATGACTTTTTGTCCATGTCTGTGTTTCACAGGCATCACCAGCATTTCAAATGTAGCTGTGGTTGAACTCTCATTTGCAGAATGTGACTTTGTAGTTTTCAAAGCTACGTAGAAATATTACCTGGCTGAGAGAATTAATCCAGAGAGGTACAGAGAAAAGATGATACACAGCCGCAAACTATAACGTTTTATAGCCCAGCTGGACGTGTTTTAATCGCCCTCATTAAAATCCATTCCTTTAAAACCTTCCAAGCACCTCAGCAACACCTTGAAAAAAAATGTTCTTGTTTGTCTGTAGAATTGTCCAACATTTGATGAGATCATGGGATCACATGATTTTTATTTATTACATTCTTGTGTTATTACAGTAAAGAACCTACCTGGATATCTTTAAATATTTCACATACAGGGAGTCACAACACTGGATTAAAGAACACATGGTACCATGTCTGTCTGAAGATATGATAGTTTAAGCTTCAGCAAGAATAGCTGTATCATAAATTGTACATAGTGACAAGTTATGTTTGGTTAAGTCTTTGAATGAATGCATATATTATTGGCCTTTGTTATGTTACTGTCCCCAAGCCTTTTGTACAAGACAGTAAGATGACACTGTGGCCGACCTGTAGCACTAAGGATCTACTGGATCAGGAAAAGACGAGTCACTGAAGTGTCTCTGAAGGGACAGAGTGGTGCATTACTGCTCTGGTCCGTGCTACCTAAGAGCCAACAGCTCCTTTGTAGTGACTATGGCCTTTACAGAGGCTCCACTGACTCTGAGTGAAGAGAGAACGGCTAAATGCACAAACTCTGTATTTCCTCTGTGGTGGTGTTGTTGTTTTCTAACTGTACAGTTTAAGTGTAATTAAATTGTTTTTCAAAATCTGTGATGACCAGGAAACATTCTGTGCTCTCTCTAAGATAAATTTGAACACAAGGGCAGAATAAATATTTAATCTCTTTATTGTAGAAATGCTGAAAAAAATGAAATCAATGTTCAAAAATGCTTACACAAACAACAACCTTACATTCATTTTTAAAACATCATCTCCCTAAACATTCAAATATTGAAAATAAATTACAAAATAGAGGTGTGCTTTTGCATAGGCAAAAAAATATACAAGACTAGGGAGGCAGACCAAAAACAAAAGCAAATTTGATTAGATGCATTTTACAGTACACAAAACACACATTCACATTGAGGTTGGTACTGTGCCAGCTACAGTAAGTGCGGTCTTACTTCAGCCATCACTGACGCCTAGTCCTTTTGCTTGAGCTCCATCGTGGATAAGGACTTTTCAGGCTTCCTTGACTTCCTGTATTTGTTGGCCAATATGATGGTGGCCACCAAGAGGACCAGGCCTATGGCCAACAGGACCCATTGTCCAGCTATGGCAGTTGGGCCTTCCACGCTCATGCCCAGGAAGTCCACTGTATTTGCTTTAGTTTCACCTGTACCTGGACACATAGATGAGATACAGAGTAAGTGACATGCAGGACTGATCGTTTCTCACAAACTTGAATGTATATATTTGGAAAGCAGCAGATTCTATACAAGTGGGAGCTGTTCAGTGATTTTCAGAGCTAGTTCACAAATGCCTGCTTAAAAGCGTGCTAGCCAGAAGCAGCGATTCAAGCATTGCAAAAGTATGATGGACTTAATATAAAGATGGACATAACAGCTCACCAAAAGTGAGGCCAAAGCTCCTTGATCGCCCTCTAGTGGCTGTTAAAAGACTAGGTCATACATCCCACCTCCCTCATGCTAATGGATTAGTTAGTTAGCGGTTAATGTCTAGATAATTTAAAGAAGTAGAGACCAATCATCCATCCGGAGATCAATTTATATGGTAAATATTTAATGAACCAATGAACCAATGACTGGATACAAATATTCTGTCGTACTAGGCTCTAATGACAGTCTGCAAATGATCAAAACACACTTGAAACAAGATGTTCATTTTCTTGGTTTATCAATTCAACATGTCTAAATCTTCCAACTGCTGCCTCTATGGGGCTCAATGCTGCAGTTGCTGACACAAAATGATCATAAATCAATGTTTGCACTAGTGTAAATCCAACCTAATAAAGCTCGAAGTCAGCAAAGTCATCAGAGGGAAAAACAAACCTCCTCTTAGATAAAGGAGATTCTTTCACATTTAATGGAGTACATTTCTTTCTTGATCTCTCCAACAACAGATGTGCTCTCTTTCTCTTCCCAGCGCTTGTTGCTAAGAATCTCATTAATCTAATCTGTTATACATCCTTTTAGCAGGATCTCATCAGTAAAACAAGAGGAGCCACAGATTGATTTCAGTGTGTGATGCAGCAGAGGAGAAACACAAAATCAGTGTGCCTTTTTCTTTCTGGGAAGGAGTTCAAGAACTATTTGGCTTGAAGATTAGGAAACTTGCTTCACACAAACCTCCAGTAAATAGACTTTCCGAAAATGCACAACAAGTATTAGTGTGTGGATGCCTTGAATGTACTGGACATACTTGATGGTTTCCAGGCGTACTCAGGCCACCCACGAATATCGTTGTTCTTGTTGTTCTCTTCCTCCAGCCAGTCAATAAGAGGTTTGAAATACTGCATGAGTGGCTGGGCGCTCATTTTGGGCTCACCGGTGATCATGGTCATTGCCTCAGGCCAGGGCTTACTGAAGCCTAGCTTCATCACGTCACTGCAAACAACAACAACAACACAGGTCAGGCAGCAGGTCGGGGAAGACGGGGATCAGTAGCAAGAGTGTGTTCTGGAGATAATTACACACATGGTATGAAGAGCACTTACAGACACTAAAACATTTCCAGTGGTTGCACTTCAGGGTATATGTGTGTGTACTAACCCAAGCAGCTTCCCAGCTTCTTTAGATTTATAGATATCACAGGTATGGAGATCCCCAGTTTGGTTGGCAGCTTTACACAGAGCCTTGTGGAACTGAAACTGGATGATGAAGCTCACAAAGTACCTGGTTGAAGATCAGCAAAGTACTGTCATGACCACGTCATCAATGCCGGGGGAACAATGTAAGAACAAGCTATAAAGCTGTTTCATCAATCACTCGTAATAGGGATTGATTATTTTTGTGAGTCACGTGGATAAGTGCACATTATGTTTTACAGCTTTTATATCTTATCACCGACTGATTAGAGTGAGTTAAAGCAGTTATCAATCTATCTGGGCTCAATTATTATCCAGCGTGTTTGTTCTATCAGGAGAATTTACCTGACATAGGGCACATTAGCAGGGATGTGGAACTTTGCACCGGGGTCAAAGTCATCCTCAGTGCGAGTTACAGGCGGACAAAGCCCCTGGTATTTCATTCTGCAGCGCAAAGAAAAGGAAGAGAAGAATATGGATGTTATTTCAGTATATTATTTACAAATTGAATAATTAATTTAACATATACCACTCTCTTGTTCATTTCACTTTATGTAATAAACAATAGATATATTAGTCATAAAAGTGCTGGTGAACTTTACCTGAGGTTCCACCACTCCTTATTGTACTCAGTGGGTGGGATGCGTCCATCGAATACTTTCCATCTCCACTGGTCCATCAGGTAGCCAAAAGGTAGGAAAGCGATCTTGTCAAGTGCCATGCTCATCAGGAAGTTTATTTCACTCTCTGGAGGAATAGAGAGAAACACCTTAACCATGAACTGAACACTGTGTTCAAACAACAAATCCTCAGCAGGACACCTTGTGGTCAGGGTCACCCACCATGGTTGTTCTCAACTTTGTCCAAGAGGCCAATGCTCTGCAGGTGTTTGGGCGTGGATACAGAGAGGGCCAGCACGTCGCCGATTGCCTCATGGAATCCAGGGTTGGCCCCGTCGCGGAAGGACAAGGGCTGGTCTTTGTACTGCAGGAAGTACTGTACATGGCCCATCTCATGGTGCACCGTGATCAGGTCATCCATGGTCACAACAGTGCACTGTTTGATCCTGGAGACACAGACAAGGCAATAATTACAGAAAAGAACTCTGTTTCATCACTATAATTAGTTCTGCTATACTCGGGTGTGATTTGCAAAAAATATCTTAATCCCAAACGAGAAAGACTGATGGAATAATAATTATATGAAGTGGTGTACAAATATTTGATATACAATGAATATAAACCATACTATGAGACTGCTAATGACTGCTAATGGTCTACCAATCAGTTAGGATCACAGAAAAAATATAATTGAGGATTAACCTGAAATCTTTTCGGTTGTAGAAGTCCCATGCCGATGCATGGCATACTACCTGACGTCCATCAGACGGCTTCTCCAGCATGGACTTGTCCCAGAACTCTTGTGGCATGGGTATCAAACCAAGAGAGGTGAAAAAATTGTCTGATTCCTTGAACATTCGGATGGCATCCCAGCCCTGAACGAGGAAAGAAAGATAATCAACAAGTAGAAAAAGAAACACCTACACTTCACATAGCTATGGACAACTGCTACTCTTTTGGTGATTATATTTAATGCAATTAAAATTCTGCAAGAGCATCCACTTTGAGTCTCATTTTAATTGAAACAAACTAATCCTACAGCTGCGATGTGAGTGGGGGGAGAGGTGATTGTGTCCTTGGGTATTCATGTGTGCAGATGTGATCATTATGCAACAACTGCTTCATGAGTCCATTCACCTGTTTCACCATGGCTGGTGTGGCGTCAACCTGCGTGGCATCTGGATAGGGTATAGCCAAATCCATGATGCCAGACCATGTCTGTGCCCACATGTTACCTGAAAGGAAAGAAGACAGCATTTATATTTCCAAAATGTAGGTCTAAGAAGTCATCGGGCAAGTAATCTTCTGCTCTGACAGTTTTTAACCAAGTGGGATTTGTGACTGTGAGTCGGTCCAATCCCTAACCGTGAGGAACTGTCAAATGCTATCTCACGCTTGATGCCTCTGAAAGCAAATTAAATCCCATCTAAACCCAAATACATCTACAGCCAATGACAGAATATCAATGGGGGTATGTTCCCACATGAAAGGAGAGTTTTTGGCTGAAGTGTTGAAATCCTTTGGATTCCATAATTAAATACTGGCTGAAGTGACCTCAGCCTAAACCCCCGACAGCCTGGTATAATCAAAACAAATTTCTGGAGGCTGTAGCTTCATGAGTCCAGTTCAAAGAAGGTTCCATTTGGTGACCTACCCAGCAAATGAGCAGGGATGGGTCCCTTCAGGTTGATTTTCTCAGGGCCATACTTTTTGAACAAAGCCCTGCGAACATAGGCATGTATGTTGTGATAGAGCGGCTCCAGCTCCTTCCACAGGCTCTCTAGGTCTTCCTCAAAAGTCGGGGTTTCATATAGGGAGCGCCAGAAGGCCCCATTGTCAGGATGACCTGTGGAGAGCACCAGGGATAGGCACAAGGTTTGTTATGCAGGTAGGGCTGAGTCCTAAGACATCCTGAGATTTCTTCTGAGCAATACCGCTTATGAAGCAAATATTATTCCTTCTTCTTGTTTATGTTCTCCCAGTGACCTGATGTGAGTTTAAAGCAGACCTTGCTAAGAACAAATTTATCTATCTAAGTCCAAATTTGACCATGCTAAGTCAGAAGATAGCCTTGTTTAAAAACTAGCTTTGCTGCTAGGCAGATTTTTTTACCACTGGAAAGGGCAAAACTAAGCTAACCATCTACTTGCAGTAGTTTCATATTTAGTGTACAGACATGAAAGCTGTATCAACATTCTCATCTAAGTCTCTATAAGAAGCCTACCGATGGAACTGGTCAACAATGGCCCTTTAATTGCACCACTTTAAACTGACCGGGTTATCTTAGACTTTAGAGCAACTCTCTCACTTCTCTCTGCTGATCTAAAGTTGGCTTTGATACATTTTTCAGGCAAAATAGACGAGAGAGAACATGGATTTA